ATTTGCAATTTTTTTTATTATTGTTCTCTTTTTTTTTTTTTGTGAATTTATTTCTATTACTTATTTCCTTGTCTTTTTTTTTTTCTTCTCTCCTCTGTCCTTCTTGTTTACTGTTTTTATATACATTTAATAAAACTAGTGTCAGCTATTTAACTTCTTCGGACATCGACCAGAAAAAAAAAAAAAAAAGTAATAAAAAAAGATGATTGAATGGGAAAAAAAAATTTGAGAGAAAATGAAGCATAAAATTTAGTGGGACAATTCGTCATTGTTGACTGGGCAGCAGCAGCAGCAACAGCAGTTCTTCAGAGTATTCTATACTGTCGGCAAACAACTTGAACTTCAGATGAACTTTTGTTCAACTCTTTAAAAAATTTGGTATACTTAACACAGAATAAATTAGAAAGACAACAAAACTGCTTAAGCAGAGCAAAAAAAGAAGAAAGACGACTCATAAAGGAATATACAAAGTCCCATATTTCACATCAAATTTGTTGTACGGAACATTTTCCACTGTTCCTCTTCGACCACCAGCAACAGCAAATAACATCTGTTTCCATCTTTGTTTCACGTTTTTCTTTCTTCAAAATCCGAGTTTCTTTGCTTTTCCCTGTAACTGTTTTCTGTTTCTGCTTCTTATTTTTCTATTATTCATTTGAACCAAAGTTTTTGCCAATTTTGTTTCAAGAAAATATTTTAAATGTACCAAAAGAAAATTACAAATCACTCAAAACAGTTCAGACATTTGTTTTTAATCATAAAAATGAAAGAAAAAAATGCATTTATTATCACTGCTTGTCAACCGATCTTTCAAATTTTATAACAGTTTATAACTTCTGTTCATCATATATTGCACCGGTCAATTATAAATTGGTCTTCCACAACAGCGGCAGTATCGGCGATTACTACAACATTTCTGCTCACCAAATACATCGTTCTTTTTGAACTTGAAAAGAAAAAACCGATATGAATATTGCTTCCATTTTTCAAAACTTCACTAAACATCAACATACAACAACAGATATACCAGCAAATTTATGTAGAGGTATACAAAAAAAATTCAAAAACTGTTCCGATTATTCAACACTGGAACACTGGTGCTCAGAACGACAACAGCGGATACACTAAGTCAGTAATTGACTGTTATAAAATTTTTAAAATCTTCATCTATAAATATGATTGACAATGATTTTCTCTTGTTTCTTTTGTTTTCGCAGCCCATTAATCATCAAACAGATAAAAATAGCCAGTATAAAGACAACGACAACAACAACAACGTCAACGATAATAATTGCGATGACGTCTGTCGCTGACAATTATTAATCTTCACAG